AAAAAAAATAGAATACTTACATTTTGAGAGATACATGCCTTTTTTATTCCATGTTATAGATCTCTCGAGTCATTCGTACTCCTCGAGGAAATGCCCTCCTGGTCGGGGTGGGCGGATCGGGAAAGCAGAGCCTGACACGGCTGGCCTCATTCATTGCTGGCTACACGACTTTCCAGATCACTCTGACAAGGTAACGAGCACTTACTTTAACCTAAAATGGGTTTTGTTACAAGGTTGTTAGAAGCCACCTGAAGTTAAGAATGTGTTTTTCTTCTACATAAAAAAATCATGATGGTTTTCCTCCTTGAATATTGATTTATTATCTTGCCCTTTCAACCTCTGTCATAGACTGAAGATTTCACATTAATAATTTGCTTTTGAAACATTTCAGCCTCTTGTTTAGTGAATAGCTGCCTCCCTGTTTTTATGTTACATGGGATATGTGTATTAGGTGTACTTCTTTTGGTATGTTTCAGAAGAAATGGATCCCTACTCAGTGTTAATTCAGATTTCAAGGATGTTAATACAATGGAAAAATAGATGAAAATTTATATTTATTTACACATTCACACATTTCAAAATGCTTGTTGAACACTGACTATGTGTCAGGCACTGGCTAGGTGAGCAGGGTAACTCTTAGCCTGTGTTGTCATGGGGCTTATGTAACTCAAGTGGCACAGACAACTGAGCAGCTCATCCAGTAAGGTGTGACTCGTAGGTCCTATCACAGGGAAATAAACACAGAACAGCTCCTTTCTAAGCACGAGGGAGGGGCTCCTAACCTGGTCTAGGGGCTGGTCAGAGAAGGCTTCTGGAGGAAGGGATGTTTAAACTGGAACCTGAATATGAGTAGGAATTAGAGAAGAGGAGTAGTAAAAAATGTTTCAGGCAGAAGGATCAGCATATGTGAAGTCACATTTGAGCCCTGGGAGAAATTAAATATGGTTGTGTGTGCAGGGAAAGGTGGCAGGTGGGAAGGAATGAGAAACAGAGGACTTTGAAGGTATGGTAAACACCTGCTCNAGGTGGCAGGTGGGAAGGAATGAGAAACAGAGGACTTTGAAGGTATGGTAAACACCTGCTCATCCTAGAGCAGTAGGAGACCATTGCTGAGTTACCCCTCGGGAGGACATGTCAGATTTGAATGCACAGAAAGTAGATGGAAGGAACTAAATTGGAATAGTGATAACCTGTTTCAGAGGTCTGGCCAAGCTGTGATGGTATCACGAGTGGTAAAAGCGAGTACAGAGAGATGGC